CCTCGCCCATGCTATTTTCTTGTTATTGTTGTTAGTAGGAATGGGGTTTTGCTGTGTTGGCCAGGCTGACCTCGACCTCCTGGGCTCCAGAGATCCTCTTGCCTCAGCCTCGGGACTACAGGCACACACCACCTCACCCCCACTAATACTTTTTATTATTATTTTTTTTTTTTAGTAGGGTTTCACTAGGTTGGCTAGGCTGATATCGACCTCGTGGGCTCAAGCGATCCTCCCACCTTGGCCAGCCAGAGTGCTGAGATTTTACAGGCTTGCGCCACCAACCCCAGCTAATTTTTTGTGCTTTTTTTTTTTTTTTTTTTTTTTGTAGAGATGGGAGTTTTGCTATGTTTCCCAGGCTGGTCTCGACCTTGTGGGCTCAAGCGATCTGCACGCCTCGGCCTCCCAAAATGCTGGGATTACAGACATGAGCCACCGTGCCTGGTCGATTGCTGCAACCTGAAATGCCCCACATTCTCTCTAAGGGATGGCGGGCTCTTCCTTCTTATAATTTACAAATAACCCGGTAATAGCCTCTAAATCCGTTCATATTAGCGAAGGTCATTTGTCTTCAACAGAACAGAACCCCCCATCCCTCTGCCTGATCAAATCCATCACCAAAGAGACCATGTTGTCTCTGGGACTCACTTCCTTTCCTTCATGTATTGATTGGGAGTGTCAGAACGCCTCCACTCAATAAAATTATACAGTTACGTCCCTGCCTCCCCAACAAGGGTCTGTACATCTTCCAGGGTAAGCCTAGCTCCAGGGAAACTACTAACAACATTAGCTAACCCCCTCCCAAAGACTCAAGGCTGTTTTGCCCATAGGAAACCTGTCATCCCCAATCAGTACTTCTCCCAGAGACCCCCCAGCTCCCTGTTTTCATCTGACTTCTCCCCATGTCCTTACTCAGGGACAGATAAGCCCTGGATGGAGAAATGCAGCACCTGATTCCAGGTGACTGAGTGTGGCCGGCCTTCACTGATTTCTCCCTCCACAGGACTGGAAAGTCTCAGGCTGTTTCTCTTGCAGGTCAGACTGCTCCCGGTGCCATGAATCGAGACAACGCCTTTGCAAAGAGACCCAGGGATGATGCTAACACATCAGAGAAGAGAAGCAAGGTGAGGTGACCTGGAGGGGACAGAGCAGTGGTCCAGGGGACAGAGTAGGGTGACCAGGTTTCTGAGGAGGGGAGGACAGAGGTACTGGGGACAAGGAGCAGGGTCTCGGGGGAGATCTGGACCCTTGGGAGCCTCCCACTCTCGCTCTGTCATCACCTAGCATCCCTGGAGACAAGTCTGTGGCCGTGCACTACATTTGGTGACTCTCACTCCATTCTGGAAGGTGGGAAGAGAGCCAGCCAGCAGTATTAAAGCCCTACTGTGCGGCAGGGGAGAAGCTGGGGAAGGTCCCCATGTTGTCTCAGTTAGCCATGGCATCAACCAAGGACGGATTATCATCCCCACTTCCCAGATCCAGCACACAGGAAGCAGCTCCAGTTGAATGGCAGACATGCCTAGCTGAGTCACTGCCAGAATTTCTTTCTTTCTTTTTTCCTAGGCCTTCGATGCTATTGCCAAATACTTCTCTAAGAAAGAGTGGGAAAAGATGAAATACTCGGAGAAAATCAGCTGTGTGCATATGAAGAGAAAGTATGAGGCCATGACTAAACTAGGTAACAGAAAGTTCTAGGAACAGACAAGTCTGGGGACACATGAGCATCCCTTTTCCTGCCTAGGCTGCTTCTTAGGTTGCAGAAAGTACCCCACATTTTCCTTTTGTGCAGGGAAAAATCACAAGGCAGCTTCTGGGTGTTCTGCTCTTCCGTATCCTATCAGGGCTGAGGGCAGGGGCTGGCCACAGTGGAGCTCGTACCTAGATCCTGCACGTTTCTCTCCCATAGGCGTCTGTTCTGATGAGCCCAACTGTCTCTGTGGCATCACAGCACATCTCCCACCCTAGCTTCCTCCTTTCGGCTTCTCTCTCTCTCTCTCTCTGTCTCTCTGTCTCTCTCTGAATCAGTCACCTGGGCTAGAGTGCAGTAGTGCAATCATAGCTCAATGCAGCCTCGAACTCCTGGGCTCAAGCAATCCTCCTGCCCAGCTTATGGAGTAGCTGAGGCTACAGGCACATGCCACCATGCCCAACTAATTTTATTTTATATTTTGTAGATATGGGAGTCTCTCTATGTTACCCAGGCTCTTCTTGAACTCCTGGCCTCAAGCAATCCTCCCGCCTCAGCCTCCCAAAGCGCTGGTATGACAGACATGAGCCACCGTGCCGGATCTAAGTTTGTCCCTTAAGGAATAAACATTTTGCTTCTTTCTAGGTTTCAATGTCACCCTCCCACCTTTCATGCGTAATAAACAGGCCACAGACTTCCAGGGGAATGATTCTGATAATGACCGTAACTGCGGGAATCAGGGTGAGTAGATGGGAAGGGGCTAGAAAGGGTCTCCTCAAGCCCAGTTGCTCTTCAGCTCAGCTACCTGGGAAAGATCCTCAGACATTTGTTCCCTCATACACAGCAGGGCTGAGTGAAAACAAAATTGCATACAGAAAGTTAACTACAGAGGCCATTCATAAAATTCTAAAACATGCAAAACAATAATATGTATTTTTATGGATAATAAGTAAATGGTAAATGCATGAAAACATGAATGTGAATAAAAAGCCATCAAATTGAGGGGACTGGCTGTAAATGGAGAAGGAGGGGGGCAGGGATTGGTGAGTGCTGCACAGACAGCTTCAGCCGTGACTTGTTGATAGTGTGTTTTGTTTTGTTTTTGTTTTTGTTTTGAACTGGAGATTTGCTCTTGTTGTCCAGGCTGGAGTGCAGCGGCACAGTCTCAGCCCACTACAACCTCTGCCTCCTGCGTTCAAGCGATTCTCCTGCCTCAGCCTCCTGAGTAGATGGGATTACAGGCGCCCGCCACCATGCCCAACTAATTTTTGTATTTTTAGTAGAGACGGGGTTTCACCATGTTGGCCAGGCTGGTCTCAAACTCCTGACCTCAGGTGATCCACCCGCCTCAGCCTCCCAAAGTGCTGGGATCACAGGTGTGAGCTACTGCACCCAGCCCGTTTACAGTGTTTCTAATATTCTGAATAAATAAATCAGTCCTAACATAGTCATGGGGTAATGTTGAGATGCGACTGAACTCAGTATGATTCCCCATACTTTTCTGTGTGTTTGAAGTATTTCTTTTTTAAAGGACTTGTTGTTCTTGCTAAACACTGTTAATGAATCAAAGGACAGTTAAGAAAATGTTAAAAGTGAAAAACAAAAAGAAAATGTTAAAAGTGTAGATCCGCCAAAAACTTCCAGAGTTTGTTTCATTAACAGCATATATATACTGGATAAATATCTTAAGAGAGAGGGTGATGAACACATGACATAATAAAGATCGCTGTTTCTCTGTATTTTATTAAAACCAAATAGTCTTCTCATTCCCAAACAACCCCAATTCTCCGTGATGAGCTTGGAAGTGAGTTTGAAAGAGTGATCCCTCATCCAACCCAGAGAGCTTTCCCACTTGTCAGTGAGCGGAGATAACAGTATGTGAAAAAAAAGACAGGTTCTTGCGTAGAGAGCTTTGTGCATTTCAGGAATATAAAGGGGACATATGTGTTTACTTGCTCTTCTGCTCTGACAATGCAATCATAAGACAAGGTCAGAATGTCCAAACTGTCTCCAATAGACCTATTACTTCCCAACAAACAGGCCAGATTCTACAATCTCCCACAATCACTACAAGAGGTCTGAAAATCCAGTGCTTGAGTATCTGCCAAGCTTTTGACTTTAAAGGAGTGTCTTTATACTGAAAATATTTCAGAGCCACTGGACTAAATCATGCACGGTTCATCACACATTTAACAGCTTAATTGACGTACTTATGGTATGTACACTTCACCCATTTGAAGTGTACAGTGATTTTTAGTTGTTGCACATCTTGAGTGGTTACAGTTCAGTTTCCCAACAAATCATTTTAATATCTGGGAGAAAGTGAAAGATATGTAATGGAATAAGATGAGACTGTGATGGGGTTTAACCCCCATTTGATAAACTATGAGATGGAAAATTCTGAACTGATGCCACAGATAAGTGAACCAACCATTACTAAACGTAATTCAGAAGCAAATCTCAAATAACTCCTCAACAATGACTGGACTCATAACCCTCTGCTGCAGAATGCCCTGATGCAACAGAAGTCTCTCTAGAGTTTGGAAATCTTTCCCAACAAATTAAAATTCTGATGTATTCTCTTTCAGTTGAACGTCCTCAGACGACTTTCGGCAGGTTCCAGAGAATCTTCCCAAAGGTGAGTATCTCTCAAATCTAAAGGACCAGAGAACCTTTGTCTCTCCACGGATGTGAATACAGGTAAGAGTGGGGGAATATCAAAAATGCCCTCACTGCCTCCTTCTCCCCATGTCTATCACAACACCTGATGTTAGCATCGACGGCTTGATAATACTAAGAGTTGTCATCCTTAATACTTCTTTTGTTTTCATAGTGATGCCAGATACTACTTTAAGCAGTTCACATGGATGAATTAATTTAATCCATAAGAAGACCTCTATGACGTTGTTTCTGTTATTATCTCCAAATAATAATGAGTCACACACTTCAGTTGTCATCCATATAAAAGCCATGTGACTTGGCGCAAATCTTCTAAGTTCTCTGAGCTCCAGATTCCTGGTCCATGCAATGGAAGTAAAGAATCACAGTCCATGTTTTAGATCATGGTTATCAGCAGCATAATAATAAAATGAGGCTATCCGGTACAGAGATGTTAAAGAATTTTCCTGAGGCGCAGTGGCAGGGGTAGTCTAATCCAGAACTCCAAGCCATTTAAAGCTCATTCACGTTTGCATTTGTTTATGAAGTTCAGATGTTGCTCACTAGGGCTTTACCCCATAGGGCCTGCTGGTGCTTCTGTTGAGACACCCACTCTCGCAACAGGAAGGACCAGCTGGCCTCTGCTCTGTTACTGGGCCGTTTGCATGGCTTAGGAATCGCTTTGACTGTTGACCCCTCCCTACTGTGAGCTCCTTGAGGGCCTTGTCTGCACCTGGGGCATCTGGGAAGCCCCAGTCCCAGCCCAGGGGATCCCTCGGAGGCCCCTGAATGAGTGACCCCACAAGTGCAGATTCAACTCTGGTTTAGAGGGTAAAGGGATCTGGGAGTTGGGTTGCCAGTGTGGAGACCGAATTCAAAGAAGTATCCAGAAAGATATTGTTATTATGATTACATTTAAACAGTGTTTACAAGCTCAGAGAGGACTTTCCCTTAGCCTATTTTACATGTATTGTTCATGTAAAATGTTGTTCATGTAAAATCGTGTATTGTTCATGGCATTGTAATGCCAGTCGTGAGCCTTACTTTGGGAGGCCGAGGCAGGCAGATCACAAGGTCAAGAAATTGAGACCATCCTGGCCGACATGGTGAAACCTTATCTCTACTAAAAACGCAAAACTTAGCGGGGCGTGGTAATGCCTGCCTATAGTCCCAGCTACTCGGGAGGCTGAGGCAGGGGAATCACTTGAACCGGGGGAGGGGGAGATTGCAGTGAGCAGAAATCACGCCACTGCACTCTAGCCAGGCGACGGAGCAAGTCTCCGTTTCAAAAACCAGAACAAAAACAAAATCAAAACAAAACAAAAACACAAAAATAAAAGAGTAGCTTAATATTGTTGGTCAGTGACACATCCCAATGCAAGCAGAATTGGTATGGGTACCACCTCACTGAATTCCACATTCAATGTTGGTGCCTCGGTAGGGTGGTATGCCATATCTGGTACTGTTTTCTTTGATGTCTGGATTAATTTCAGCAAACCATTTCTTTCCCTCTCTCTTCCCAGTATTCATCGCCCCACATCATCTTTCCCAGCAGCGTTTTGTCCCCTCTCTATGTCTTTACATTTACTCTCCCAGCAGCAGTCTACAAGCTTATATTGGGATCCCTTGTATTTTATAGAAGCTCTTCCTTTTGTAGACCTTGTGAATTCTTAGAATGCTATTCTACAAAACTTCTGTACACCACACTCTCAATTACATGGAGATTTCTGCTGTTTGCACAAATGTCAGTCTTGAAAGAGTGTGAAGATAAGCATTCTAGCCCTGGAATTCCACCCCATTCATTTAGGCCATTCCTTTCCCTTCTGACCTCCCAGGTTTCTCCTTATTTAGGTAAGTGTAACTCTCCCAGCGTTGTTGAGAACATTGATTAAGGTAATGCGTGTGAAGACGCTTTGTAAGCTCTAAAGCACTATAGAAATGTGACTGATACTGTTTTATCTGTGACCTTCACATTATAAAGATCATGCTCAAGAAGCCAGCAGAGGAAGGCAACGATTCGAAGGGCGTGCCAGAAGCATCTGGCCCACAGAACGATGGGAAACAGCCGTGCCCCCCAGGAAAACCAAGTACCTCTGAGAAGATTAACAAGACCTCTGGTAAGAGGAAACAATTCGGGAACAACCCCTCTGGCTTCCCTGGCTATGTTCAGGTGTGTGGACTGGGTGTGTGGCATGGATCCCAGACAAGCCTGGGTCCAGGTTGGGCTGATGAGCTTGCCCAGCT